GATGGGTGGGTGGGACAGACAGACGCCTGAGCTTTGACAAACTTTCTGGAGCCAAGTGCCACTAGGGAGCAGTATGGAGAAGCTTTTCAAGGTCTTCCCAAACTCTTCTACCAGACCCTGGCTGGTGAGGTTTCCAGAGAAGCTTATTTTGTTCAACATTTTCATTGCGAGAGGAGTTGGTGCCTGATGGCTTGTGCAAGGACACACAGCTCCTGAGCTGGCCACCTGAGTGGGTCTGGCATCTTTCCCTTAGAGAACACCCAGCTCCCTGGGTTCTGACGGCCCCAGTGCTGATAATACTCCGGCAGCTTTGTACCCCTGGAGCCCTTTCTGGGACTGCCTGTCGGCCCCTGGTGGTGAACGTGTGCATCACAGAGGAGATGGACCACTGAGTGCGCCATTCAGGGAGGGCCAACTGTGTCTTCCAGCCTCTCAGCGGGACCCCATCTTTGGTGACTTGAGCCCCCACCAAACTCCCTCTTTCCTTGACATGTCTCTTCTGTCCTTTTAGACCTTCATCACCTGAGCTTATATTTCTCAGGAAAAGAAGGCCCCCATGCTCAGAGCATGTCCTACACTGTGCTTCTCCTCTTCAAATTTACTTCTCTTGTGTACCTTGTCCTCTAGCCCTGACTTTTAATTTCCTCTATCTCTTTGTGTGTTGCGGGGAGGGTGGGTGTTGGAGAGAATGCTAATATGGTGATGGCTCACTCCCTTCCCTCCTGGCTGTCCACACATTGTCACAGCAGACTTTTGAGGTCCATGCCTTAGCAGAGGGAGATATCCAGACTGCACAGAAAACCTCAAAATTTCCTTTTCATTCATTCGTTCATCCATCTATTTAATTACTCAATTATTAAACAATATTTTAAGCATCCTCTATGTGTCGGGTGCTGAAAAAATTATATATAATCTTTACGTTTGTTAAGCCTTTAAGCACTTACGTGCTAGGCACCATGCTAAAGGCCTGACAGTCATTATCCTTATTATACAAGCCTGTGAGGGAGACGTTATTATTCCCATTTTACAGATGAGGAAGCAAAGGTCTAGAGCAATCACATCACTTGACTGAGTTACAGAACCAGGAGTCAAGCCGTGAAGGCGGCCACCCAAATGGTCAGGCATTTCTGTTGAAGTTCACTGTTGGGCTTGTGGTTGCTTGTGCCCAGGATACTCCCAGAGTCTGCACCTTCGCAGGCAGCTGGGGAGCAGTTAAGCACATAGGCTCAAGGGATGAGCAAGAGCTACAGAGACCTCCAGACCTGGGTCTGTGTTCACTTAAGTGTGTTATAGCTCTGTGGCTCCTAAAGTAGAATTCTAGAATGTTCCAACAAGTTCAATTCTGCAACTGTGTATTAGTACTCTGTGTGGGACCCAGCATCACCTCAAAGCTGTGGCTCAGAATCCCTCCAGGGTCACTGGGATGGGAGTCAGGAAGCTGGGTCTGCTTAACTGGGACCTAACAAGCCGCTTGAGCTGGACCCCCTCCTCTTGCCACATGGCCTTCTGCTTTATCTGTAAGTATATAAGACTTCATCTGTAAGACTATAGTATCCCATGTAAAATATACTTCGTGTCCCGGAGAGCTGTCCTCAAGATGAGATAAGAGCATGAGTGTGAATGTGCCCTTACATAATCCGTGTGCCCTCATTATCACCACAAGCTGGGCTGCTGTGTTTTGATTGGGTCCCCTGGAGGCCTAGTTGTTCCTAGCCTTCAGGACTGCAAAGGTCAGGATAATTTTTTGTTATGAATCTCCATGAGTTCCATAGCATTTCTTCCTTTTAAAAATGACTGCCATAGGGGCGCCTGGGTGGCGCAGTCGGTTAAGCGTCCGACTTCAGCCAGGTCACGATCTCGCGGTCCGTGGGTTCGAGCCCCGCGTCAGGCTCTGGGCTGATGGCTCAGAGCCTGGAGCCTGTTTCCGATTCTGTGTCTCCCTCTCTCTCTGCCCCTCCCCCATTCATGCTCTGTCTCTCTCTGTCCCAAAAATAAATAAATGTTGAAAAAAAAAATTAAAAAAAAAAAATGACTGCCATAAATACTCTGCTCTAAAAGAAAAAGAAGCTTAATACAAAAGTAGGCAGGATATAACCTCCAAAAAAAAGTGGATGTATTTAGCCTCGTGAAAAGCTATGTGGTCAACAGGCACCTGGGTGGTTCAGTCAGTGGAGCATCTGACTCTTGATTTTGGCTCAGGTCACCATCCCAGGGTTGTGGGATCCAGCCCTGAGTCAGGCTCTGCGCTGAGAGTGGAGCCTGCTTAAGACTCTCTTTCTCTCTCCCTCTGCCCCCTCTCCCCTGCTCGTGTGTTCCCTCTCTAAAATAAAAAATAGCAAAAACTAAAAAGCCCCACAAAACTATGTGGTCTATATTTTTTTCATTTCGCTTTAGATCAGTGGGAATTGAAGCAAGGACTGACCTCTGGGAGCCGCCGCTGGAGAGTGTATGTAGTTTACAGGGGCACTCTTGGATCTTGCAGCCAAGCCCTCCCTGGGCAGCGAGAGGTGCACTAAATACATCATGGGGCAGCCACGTGCACGAGAGAACTGAAGGACAGAATAGAAAAATGAGTTCCAGGAAATGTTTTTAATGTGTATTACAAAATAGCATGTGCAGGGGCACCTGGGTGGCTCAGTTGGTTGAGCGTCTGACTTCGGCTCAGGTCATGATCTCGCCGCTCGTGGGCTGGAGTCCTGCGTCAGGCTCTGGCTCTGTGTTGACAGCTCAGAGCCTGGAGCCTGCTTCATAGTCTGTGTCTCCATCTCTCTCTGCCCCTCCCCCACTTGTGCTCTGTCTCTCTCTCAAATATGAATAAAAACATTAAAAAAAAAATAGCATGTGCAGCATGAATGAACTCCCAACCCCCCAATTTGTAAAGTGCCTGTATGCCAACAGGCAGCCTCAAATGCACAGAAAACAAAAACAAAAACAAAAACAAAAAACCACCAGAAGGCTATACAGCAAAATCCCACGGGGTTATCTCTGTATGGAAGAATGATGTCTGGGTTTATTTTCTCTGAGTTATTTCTTGCATTTTCCAAATCTTCCTGTTTTGTAATCAGAAACCTAGAACAAAGAAAGTAGCCAAAAAAAAGAAAGAAAAATGACGCAAGATGAATTATGCCACACTCTGTGTGAGACTTCGGTCTCCTTGGGACCTGCAGAATTTCAGTGAAGCCACATCCTGGACTGTAGAAGGCTCTTCTGGGCTTGGGCTGGCACCGCTCATCTCCTGCCTTTGCTTTTCTCGGGCTGGGCCTCGTGTCTGGCTTGCGGTAAGTGCCCCATCTGTGTGTGCCGAGTGGACCACTTTCCTTCCTAGGAGGGCCAGGGTGGCTCCTGGCCAAGAGGGCACCACAGAGAAAAGCTGCCACTTAAGTAGGGATGGGCCATCCCTAAACTGCATTCCTTTCTGAGTTTAAAATTGTGTGTCTGAAGCCTTTGATTGCTTCTCTCCTCAGAAGCCTGGAATGAGGTAACCAGCAACATTCCTTCTTCCCGCTGCCATTAAAATAAAGACTCTGTCTCAGAGTGCCTGGGTGGCTCAGTCAGTTAAGCAACTGACTTCAGCTCAGGTCATGATCTCACAGGTCGTGAGTTTGAGCCCTGCATTGGGCTCTGTGCTGACAGCTCAGAGCCTGGAGCCTGCTTCAGATTCTGTGTCTCCCTCTCCATCTGCCCCTCCCCTGCTCATGCTCTGTCTTTCTCTCTCAGGAACTGAATAAACATTAAAAAAAAAAAAGAAAGAAAGAAAGAAAGAAAGAAAGAAAAGTCTCTGTCCTTAAAACAGCAGCAGGGTTTGGGGAGGATAGGTCTCTTCCCATTGATCAGGCTTCTTGCTGACAAGCAACAGGAGTTAATTCCGGCCAATTTAAGCAAGCAAGAAATGCATTGGAAAGCCTTCTGGTAACTCCCAGTTTGGACAGGAAGACTAGAGCCCATTGGTAAAACGAGCAGGACCCAAGCCATTGGGACCACTGCTGAGTCCCCTGAGCTGTGTCTCTGCCACAGGTCTCAGTCTTCTTATGATTTTGAGTCCTGACAGATTTACCATAGGGCTTGAGAGCACAGGCCCTGGAGCCAGACCGCCTGGTCTCAGATCCCATCTACCAGGACCTAAAGCAAATTCCATGACTTTTCTATGCTTCCATTTTCACATCTGTAAAATAGAGATAATAAAAGTACCAGCTGGCATTCCTTATCTTTTGCTATGAAGCAAATTACCCCCAAACTCAGTGGCTTATAACAACAATAAACATTTATTACCTCGGTTTCTGTGGGTCAAGTATTCAGGAGCAGCTTAGCTCGGCGACTCTGTCACGAATTCTCCTGAGGTTCCGTCAGAGGTAGGTTGGGGGTACAGTAGTCGAAGGCTCAGCTGGGACTGGAAGATGTTTCCAAGGTGGTTCACTCCTGTGGCTGGTAAGTTGTGCCAGCTGGTGGTAGGGGGCTTTAGTTTCTCCCTAACTGGGCTGCTTGAGGTTCCTCACAACATAGTGGCTGCCTCACCTGTCAGAGCAAGAGATACTGGAGAGAGCGCCAGCAGAAGGTACATCCTTTGTATGACCTAGCCTGTGACGTCACATCACATCACTTCTGCTATAGTCACTCTTTAGAAGAAAGTAAGTCCAGCCAGAGTGCAAGGGGAGGAAAATTAGCCTCCACCTTTTGAAGGGAGGTATATGAAAAAATTTGCAGCCATATCTTATAACCACCACAGTACCTCACAGAATCATTACAAAGATTAAATGAGTTAATAGTAGTGTTTAAGATAGCGCCTAGAATGTAGTAATTACCACATAGATGTTTGATTGCTGGTAGTAGTAGTAATATTCTTATTCTCCCCCACCCACCCTGCCAGTCGGCCTGTTCCTCACTGTCCTCCTCCAAAGTTACCTCAGAAGTGGAGGTGATCCTTGACTTTACTGGCTCCTAAGTCTCCGTCAAGGAAGCAGGAGCTGCTTTCGGACTGGTCCCACACTTTTTATCTACCTCAGGAAAGAGTCACGCTGGGACTCCAATGACAGTGGTCAGGCCTGGCTGTTCAGCACAGGGGAGTCAGCCCCTTTGTACATCTCAGTCCTCACAGCTGCTGCAAGGCCGACCCTTGCTTTCTGCTCTTCAATTCCTCAGGGGAGACACCCGCAACAGGGAACTGGAGGAAATTCCCCGGGCAAATGATTGGCCCAGTGAGACACACGCGGGGCCTTGCCCAGTTGGTGATAGGGTAAGGGGTGGCCTTTGAGAGCCTGGACAGAAACCAGTGGGCAGGAAGAGCCAGCGGGAAGGACCGTTGCTGCCACAAGCCCACACGCTCTGAGGCAGAGCCACAGCGAATGAACGAGCCGGCTGTTCCCTGCAGAGGATGCCTGCCTGAGGGGCGCGTGCACAGGCTGAAACCCAGCCAGGCCCCGCTTGCCAAGCCCGGAGCCTTGGCTGCATCAACACTGAGGAAGAGGTGCCTTTTCCTAACCGTCTGCTCAGAGGGGGCACTTTTTCTAATTTATAGGACACATTGCATGTGCTAGCTGTGGTTGGGCCACCAGATCTTGTTTAAAGATCCCTGCCCTGGGCTCTGGTATGTGAGTATTTCACCACCGGGGGCTGATTACTTGCCGCTCTGGGGTTTAGCGTTTTCATTTTCCAGCTCCTACTTGGGCTTCCTTCTTCCGTCTCACAGGTACGAGGCGGACAGTGGAGAGGACCACAGGCCTGAGGCGCACGAGAGCACCTGCCCTTTCCCAGGTGCGGCTTGGTCTCCAACGCCTTCCGATGTGCCGGAATGCTGCTCAGAACTCGTCTACCTGGGAACTCTGGGGCGGCCTGGAAGAAGGAGCACGAGGCGGCCTTCATCTCCCCCACCCACCCTGGCCTGGCCTGGCCAAGGCGGTTACCCAGCTGGGCATGGTCAAGGCAATTGGGTCTGGGGTGCGGCGGGAACCCTCCTTAGCAGGATAGGAAGAACAGAGGTAGGAGGAAGACTTAAAATCTTTACACGAGGGCAGCACCCTTTGCATTCTGCTCTGGAGTAGATCCTGATTTTGCAGGAGACACTCTGATGTCTGCAAGGACTTATGTCTCAACTCGGATTGATACAGTCAGGTGAATAGGGAGATGACAGATGACGGATAGACTACTCACAGGAGAGGTTTGCAAAGGAAGCGATGGGCCAGCAAGCATTTTTATACAAACTTTGTAAACTTTTTCTAGAGGAAAATTTGAAAAACCACATGCAGAAAAAGTCCCCTGCTCCTGTCTGGTTAAAAATATAAAATAAACAGGCACAGAAGTCATCCTTCAATGTGGTCTTCCCTTTAGCCCCAAAACCAGACTGTTCATATTTACACTTGGTGAATCCTCGTCTCCACTTCTATCATTTTATCTAGAGTGGAAGAAGCAGAGGAGCGTGATAATAATAGTATTTTTTAAGCCTAATACCATTTTGTTTTATTTTTTATTAAAATAACATTAACAGGGGTGCCTGGGTGGCTCAGTCAGTTGAGCGTCTGACTTCGGCTCAGGTCATGATCTTGTGGTTCCTGGGTTCTAGCCCCACATAAGGCTCCGTGCCGACAACTCAGAGCCTGGAGTCTGCTTCGGATTTTGTGTCTCCCTCCCTCTCGCCCCTCCCCGTTCACGCTTTGTCTCTCTTGCTCTCAAAAATAAATAAACATTAAAAAAATTTTTAAAATAACATTAACAAATAATATATTAGTTTTGGGTGTATAAACATGATTTGATATTTGTATACATTGCAAAATGATCACCACTATAAGTTAACATCCATCATCTAATTACAATTTGTTTTCTTATGATGAGAACTTTCAAGCTCAGCTCTCTTAGAAACTTTCAAACAGGTAATACAATATTGGTGACTACAGTCACCATGTTGTACATGATATCGCTATGACTTACTTATTTTATAACTGGAAGTTTGCACCTCCTGATTTCCTTCCCTCATTTTACCCACTCCCCAAGCCTCCTCCCTTCTGGCAACTACCACTATGTTCCCTGTGAATTTGTTTTTGTTTTTCTCATTTGTTTTGTTTTTTAGCTTCCACATATAAGCGAAATCATTTGGTATTTGTCTTTCTCTGTCTGACTAATTTCACTTAGCATAATACCCTCAAGGTCCATCCGTGTTGTTGCAAATGGTAATACTTCATTCTTTATGTCTGAGAAGTACTCCACTGTGTGTGTGCGTGTGTATCTCACATCTTTTTTTTTTTTTTT